ATTTTTATTCCTCTCTTATTGTTTGGGGGAATTTGGTTCTCATCCATTGCTAATAATTGAGCCAAACGTGTTGCAACAACCTATTACCCAGAAGCTGAATGGAATTGGGAAGGTCTCGAATGGGATTTGATCCCTAAAACTCGAGCATTTTGCATGCTCGAGTATGAAAATTTCTGCTGCCACACTGTTGGTCTTTACAACTTAGTTTAAACTAGAAAATATGATTTGAATTCTAATCTCTGTCCCAGAAAGATTAAATGGAGGGGGAAAACATGTATTAACCAAACAAACTACTTATTCTACATTGTATATTACCATATGTCAATTTCAGGTTACTTACTATGTTGGTCTCCACTGAATTGACATCCACTTTTAGTCCTTCAATTCTATTCAGTCCTTCTGAAAACCAAATTTATAAAAATGTAAAAGAGAAACATCAGCCAAAATAACACATGAATTTATGGGTCTGCCATTGTATGTATATGATAATGTATTAAACAGGAGAAAAAATTTACGTGCTAAAAACTTAGCATTGTTGTGATCACTCTCGAGCTTTCCAACATTCTCTTGCACTGCAACTAGTTATAGCGATCCCGGGTTTACCCTTGTTATACCGTGATCCGGACATGTGTCCGTGGATGTTGGTAGTTGTTTATTATTTTGTTTACGTCCTTTTACTTCGTATTTGAGTTATAGGATGTGTTGGGCGGATTTGTTTCAGGTTGGTTGAGTTTAGAAACCAAAACTAGTTGCCCAGATTTTTGGCCTGTACGCTCGAGCGGAGGTGTTGGCGCTCGAGCGGGTAATACACCCATCCAGTATTTGTTGTGCAGTGTTGTACGCTCGAGCGTGGAGTTGGCCGCTCGAGCGGATCTGTGTGAGTGGCCGCTCGAGCGTATGGTTGGGAGCTCGAGCGGAGTCCTGGTTCTGCAAAAGTGCTGGGCGAGTGCATTCTGCGCTCGAGCGGGCGGTTGGCCGCTCGAGCGGAAGTCTGTGAGTGGACGCTCGAGCGGGGTGTTTTACGCTCGAGCGAAGACCTGGGTTAAAGTCCCGAAATTGTGACTTTTCAAATCACTTTTTCACTTTCTCTTCTCTCTCTTACTTTTCCAAAATCACCATTGTTGAGCCTCTCACTCTAGACTCTACCTTCTCTCTAGGTTTTGATCTAGTAGGAGTGATTTACTCACCTTTGGCCTTTACAAAAAAGTTGTTGATCGTCGAGGGCTACATTTTAATCTGAAAATTTTGGGTCGCCAGTTTTGGTGGCGGGGTATGAATGATGATTGTTAGTAGTACAATGAAAATTTTGGCCCATAGAAGTATGAAAACCATGATAATATTAATATCAGGTAATTCAAAAGATCTACATACAAGAGGATACTTTCTCCAATTTGGTACTTACATAATGCATTAGATGGGAATATAAAAATAATTTACAACGTAGGAGATAAAACACGGCCCTAGTAATTAATAATTGAGCAACCCAACCAGTATTTGTTAAGTGTCTCCTCACCTGCTCAGGGGAAATGCCAACAATTTCCAAAACATTTTCTTGAATCTCACGCTTATAAATTCTCAAGCTTTCTCCACCAATCTGATAGCACCACAACAATTAAGTATTGCACCGTTGAATTTCACATGTTAAGTATTGGCAAAAGATCAATATTGCAACTAACAGAGAATAGAGTACATATTTATACCCCTCAAAAAAACACTCATTAGTTTTACAGTGAGCAAGAAATTGGGTACCGATGATATGTATACAAATTGGGTACCGATGCTATTAAATAAAATATCCATTATATAATCATTGAAGTGGATTCCACACCAACTGATTGTGTGAATGCTATTTGTTAATTGCTCCTCGTGCAACAAACCAAGTGACAGAACATTCCTGAAAAATGTAAAGTCTTAAAAAAACAATTTTACCCTTCTCATTATATGAACAAAGGTATTATATTAAAATAGTCATTATATATACATAGAGATAGAAAACTAATTACCTCACATTAATAGTTTTCAATGCATGCATTTTATGGGATTTTGGTTTTCATGTTTTAATTATGTTAATTTATTAGTTCTTGAAATATGAAATCTATGCTTCAATTAAAATATTTGTTGACCAAGTAGCACTTTTTACTCTGTTAACTTTTAGAATTGGATTTGTAACTGACAAAGTGATGAAATAAGAATACACGAAAAGAAGAGGAAAAGACTACCTCTAAGAAGCCAGCTTGATCAAGGATTGCCCGCACATTTTCTGACATAAAATCAACTCCTAGAACTGTGATATATTGGCAACCATTTACTTTTGATGTATTACATGTAACTTCAAGCCAAGGGCTTAATGTGTAAACGAGTTAGTACTCTTTTGTTGTAACCAAGTGTTAACTTGGAAAGCTGTAAGCCCGTAGGGCATTTTGTTTTGATGTTAACATGTAATACTTATGTAATGAAACTCAATGAAATAAAGGAATGTGGTTAGTTTATATGTAAATGCATGTCGTATTTGAGGGCGTTACAAGCAGCAGCGCAAAGGACGCCAACTTGTCTCATCCCACCACCTAAGGTCTTCCGTAGAGTCTTTGCCTACAAAACCATTAAAGAAGAAGAAGAAGAAGAAGAAGAAGAAGAAGAAAGAGAGAGAGAGAGAGAGAGAGAGAGGGAGATATCAAATTTCTGCAATGAGAGAAAAACAGAATTCTTAATTGTTGCAAAAATATCAGTAATACCCTAGTAATAAAATCTTTTGAACCAACAATGACAGTTCTAGCTAGAGCGTCCAATCCTTTGATAGGCATACCTGGATTACATTATGTGAAATAATGTAATATAACAAAATAGAGAAGATAACTTCTTCAAGTATGTAATTTAATTTTCTTCATGCCAGCTTCAAATAAAAAAAAAAGAAAAAAAGGTCCAACTAAGAACTAAGTTGTAAAAACACAACACCAAAAAATATATAAATGTCAGTCACCATGTAACCCTACCGAAACTGAATCAGCAGCCTGCACAAGCCTATGAACGGGAATGCCAAGTGCCTAGAGAACAAATTTAATCAAGTTGAAAACTTGGGCATCCTTTCATAGATGTATTTATTAATAAATATAGTGAAGTACAGAACTCAAAATAATCATGGACGAATTATGAGTAACTCTCCACTGAGTCTCAAAAAATTATGTAAGTTTTGACACCGAATGGAAATGAAATTGTTCAAATTTAACTCAAACCATAATTGTAAAACACAAGCAGATAACATGAAACACAGTCGTATCAAATCTCACCAAGGTGGTAGTAGATTTATCTATGGAATGAGAATCACCACCAATGACAAAAAAAAAAACAGAATGAAATAATTTAATTTCCTTATCTTGTTTAGAAATTTCCATCTTTAACGTGGCCACTCCAATTACAACCATTTCAACCTCCTATGCCATGCAAACTACAATAAAGACCTTCAATATTTGGATCCTTGGTAGTTAAAAACACCGGAGTCACTTCAATTACAACCATTTCAACCTCCTATGCCATGCAAACTACAATAAAGACCTTCAATATTTGGATCCCTGTTAGTTAAAAACACCGGAGTCAACGTACACGAATATTAGTCAACATACAAACTGCTAGATTATCATGACTATAGTTCTTTAGCAAGTTAATTCTTGATACCAAAAATTAAAGTACTGCACTTCAATCCAAATAAACTTGTTGCTAATGTACAACAACAAAAATGTTCAAACACCTCCAAATTAAAAAGGTCGCAGGTGTTGGTAACCACGAGAAAGTAAAAAAGTTTCAATCAAGTTTCCATGATATTAACCTATTGTAGCACTCCCCCTTGCCATCATAAATGCATTCAGTAGTGCAAATTTTCTTCAATTCAAAATCCTCAAAAAACAAATGGTTTCTTAGTTTTCTCGAACAGTTCCAACATAAAGCACTAAAATCTAACTACATAAGCAATCATTCTTCTAAATATCTCTCTTTACTGACCAGTGAACACCATAATTTGTAGCATACAACTGTATAATGACAAGTAGAAGGTTAGAAATATTTTTACTCACAACTGATGCATTAAATATACGGGCGCCATCGATGTGAATTTTCAGCCATGCTTCTTTGCTAGCTCCCCAACTTTGTCTATATACTCTACAGGAAGGCATTTACCACCACAGTTGCATTTAGTAAGCTACCACCAGTAAGCATTGCATTAGATATGGGACAGGTCAATCAAAAGGTCCCTTGCTTAACCTCCTCTTTTCTTTTTCTATCTACATTTATCCAAGTGGAGGAGAGCAAGGCATTGATTTAGTAGATCAGGTGCTTTCTTATTCAGTTGTGATATCAGTTCACGTCTTACTGATAATATTTGTATTAAAAAAAACAAAAAACTTATCCAAATGGAGCCTTAAGTGGCAAGCTTATTAGAAGTGAATATGATCAAACAATTCAAACCATGCTTCTAATTCTCCATCAAAATTTCAAATGCATTCATGAAGACACAAGTGCTCACTTTGCATGCGTGGTTTCCAAGCAGATAAGCCTAGTAGTTGGGTAACAAATTTCCAATTTAGGGTCTCTAATGGCAGCTTCAATGAGATCAATATCCATTGTCCCATCTCTGTTATTCTTCACTGTCCTTGGATGTACACCTCCAATTGTGGAAATGCCTCCATTCTCATAGATATGGATATGAGAATTGTCTCCAAGAATGACTTCACTACCCCTAACCTCACAATGAACAAGCACACTGATTAGGTTACCCATAGTCCCCGAAGGGACAAAAAGGGCTGCTTCCTTGCCTGTGATTGTTGCCAACTCTGTTTCAAGGCAAAAGGCCGTTGGGTCACAACCTAGTACATCATCATCAACTACAGCATTTGCCATTGCTGCTCTCATTGCTTGACTTGGTTTGGTCACTGTGTCGGAGCGGAGATCCACCGTTCTGGTCATCATTTTTGCTGAATTTAAACTAGAAAATACACCAACAAATAAGAAAATTAATGAAGCCGCCTAAGAACATAGAATTCAGTCACAAAACCATAGACAGTTTTCAAAAGTGGGACCACTAATGAATCCTGTAAAATGCCGAGTTCATTCATGTGCATATTATTAGAACTTTACAATTCACGGTTCGATTCGTATGATTGGATAGGAGTTTCAACTAAGAAGATTTGATTTGTGTTGTTGAATCTTAAATTAAGTAAATCGCACGATTAAGTTGCGATTCACTATGATTTGCTACGATTCATGCGATTCATTGCATAATGTATGATATAACATTGTTTTCGCATAATATAAAAATAGATCAATTAATTATATTGATATACATGCTTTTATATGTACATTCATATCTTTATAAATAATACTTGTGTATATTTTTATATATAGTATACACATAAAAAGTTATATATTGTGTTAAATAAAGTAAATTTTACTATTTTCCACACAATTCACAAATCACTATTCACTATTTTAGCATAAGGATTCACCATTGGATTTGCAATTTGATAACAATGTTCATATATATATATACACGTGTATTCTGTCTTCATTTTGTGTTTTTGTTTTTGATTTCTGTGTACAGAGTAGAATTATTAATAAAAATTGATCAAAGTGATTACAGATAAAATAAATGACTAAAAAAATGAATTAAAACATCATATTGAATTAATCTTTAAGACCATCTCTAATCCTTCATCATTAGATCTTTCATCAAATTTAAATTTAATGAAAAATTGAAGAAAATGGTGCTCCAACCGTTTCATCAGTTTGGTATCAAATGAAAGAAGCAGTACTTTTTTTTTTCATTAAATGAATAAAGCATTTATTCTTCTATCAAATTTGTAGGTGACTGCTGGGTCAGACGTCCGCCCGAACATCCTCAGGTGACTGTTGGGTCAAACATCAGCCCGGACATCCTCCTGGACAATCAATTTTGAAATGAATTTGATGAAAATTTACTCTAGACGGATGACCGGTCAAATTTGATGAAAAGGTTGGAGTGCATAGTATCAATTCAAACTTTTACTCAAATTTAATGAAATATCTGATGATGAAGGATTGGAGATGCTCTAAGGGTGACCATTTGTTTAATGGTAAAACCTGACCTAATAACTTGAGGTTATCAGTTAAAAAATAAAAAAATAAAAAAATTCAGGTTATGGATTCAAGTCAGGAGCAACCACTTTATCCACTATGCCAAAAGCTAATTGTATAGCCAATCTTTCTCCACTAATTGTGCGTTGTTTTTTTATTGAATTAATCTTTAAGGAAATTAAAAATCCAATGCTGAGCCTGAGAGAGATGCTCATACCTCTTGCAAGCTATTCTTCACTATCACTGCCTCCTTCACTGAAGTTTCGGACAACTGCGCACAAAACCCACAAAATTTTCAACAAAATCAAACAGGTTGCGTTGAAAAACAGTTAACAAGAAACGAAAATCAACCACACGCAGAACCCAAAAAAAGAAAATTCTTAGTATCTTTAGAAGAGAGAGAGAGAGAGAGAGAGAGAGAGAGAGAGAGTTGTAAACATCAACAAAACACAATCCATTACATGAAGAAAGTTTGGAATTCTAATCCCCAAATGCAACCCTGTTTATCTTCGTAATTCAATTTCAATCGATTTGTGGGTTGTACACTGAACTGAGAGAAAAAAACATCTCTCAACGAACAGTCCAAGAGTCCAAAACCCACTCACGTAACATGCCTCCATAACGAATGATTGATTTTATAAATAAATAAATAAATAAGCTTCTTGTTTTTCTCTTGCTTGTCACTTCTTGCCCTTCTGATTCTTCTCTTACTTTGCTCTTTTGGTAGGGCCTCAAAAATGAAATATGTAACCTAAATTCAAAATTTAGGTCTCGTTTGGCAAGTGATTATTTTAGTCTAAGAGTCAAAAAGTTATTAAAACAATCAAAAAGTCAACAATTTTTACTAAAAAATTAAAAATTTCATTCTCTCTATTTTTTGTACATATTTTCGTAAAAAGCTAAAAAGTCATCCAAAACATACTAATTTTTTTTACCTCATATTTTAGCCAAAAAATCAAAAAATTATTAAAATAACTTGTTCCCAAACGAGACCATATCATGTTAATCACATACAAAATAATACCAAGTCTAATTTACAAATTTTATTTTTTAATGACTTTTTAAATAATTTATCCAAAAGTAAAGTTATTTGATTAATTGAGGTCGAATACAACTAATATGTTTAAATGATATATGTTTGGTTAAATACTACTCAATAAATCAAGTTTGGTTAAATACTACTCAATAAATCAAGTTTGTATCGCTTCTAATTCGAAATTCAAACCCAAAAATAGAAACTCCTAAACTATTATTTATGATGAAAATAAATTCTACTTTCTTATTGTGAGAATCTACCTAAAAGATGACTTGATAGTCAATTACTTAAATAAATTTGAATAATATAAACAATGATTATCCATATATCATAAAAAATAGTCCAATTCAGTAAGCTATATAGAGGTTCTACACCCACAGTATAGCTGCCATTATGTACAACTATATAAAGTCAATAATACCACTATAAAAGCCCCAAATACAAAATCCAGGACTCCATGCAAAAGAGTGGCTCAACAGTGTATTCTTCAAAAAGAACATGCTATATATTACAGTTCCTGAATGTGATGACATTTATACCAAACACATATCAAGATGAATAATGCTTTGTTAGACCAAATCGCAGAACAAGACCGGACTCATCTTGTCTCGGCTATCATTGATCCTCTGTTAGGACCCCGCAAACCTAAGGCCAATAATAACCAATAATGTGGCTGGCATTGGGATAAAATCTCAGGCGTGCAAGCGATTTTACTATCAAGATTTGTCTCTTTTTCCAGAGATTCCACAAACCGGATGAATACATCTCCTTGTTCTCGCATTAAATAATCAGCAATAAAAGGAGACAACAGAATGCAAACAGTAATTCCAACAGCATCAGAGAGCAGCCTCAAGCAGCACAATCAAGAAGAAGCAAGCGCACTAGGAGAATATAGTCTTTCATCAGCTTCCAAAGTTTATTCGAACTTTTTTGATAGTTTTTTATGCATCTTGCATATTTACACCATCCACCTCGATAGAAACTTGTCTGTCCTTATCAGCATTACCATCTTCAGCTGTTTCTGGGACAATGTCTTCTGGCCTGGTCAGGATATTATCCTTGATTCCATTTTCCCCAGTATTCTGCTGATCCTTAGCTGATAAATCCCCCCCAGCAACTTCTGGGCTCGTTAAATTCTCACCAATAGTACCATTGACAGTGTCACCACACATAATAATCTCATCTCCATCAGTAAGGTCAGAGTTAATATTCAATTTGACAGCAGAATTTTGATCTGGAATGTCACTAGTAGGGGTGTGCATAATACCGTCAAAACCGCCAAAACTGCACCGAACCGCACCGCTAAGGCAAATTCGTTATTATTTGCCAATCGAACCGTCGGTTTTTGGTAAGAAAAATGGCAAATTCTAGCATGTCCTGTTTTGGACTTGCATTAGCTTGTACTTGAGCAGCATCTATCTCTTGGCTTGGAATTTCATCAGCTGGAGGCTCAGCAGTTTCATTTGCTGCAGCATTGGCCAACTCAAGAGCACGATTTTTTTGCTGCAACTTCTTCTTGTACTCTGAAAGCATCCACGAGGCTTTGGATCCTTTCTTTCTCTGCTACAAGAACCCCATAGCGTTTCTGCAAAGTTTGCTCAAGCTCCTGCTTCTGAACTTCTTCCCAGAGGCCATTGATCCTATGTGATGCTGCCAGCTGCTCTTGCTTTTGTAAAGCTTGAAAGCACTCGAGTTCTGTTCCTGCAGTGTCCATCTGCTTAAAAGTTGCTTCAGTTTGTGACCAAAGTTTCCCAGCTCGCATCTGATCATTGACAATGTCCATCTATCAGAACCATTACAACTTGAATCTAAAACAAACAGCAACTAATCCATGACTTGCAGTTATATAAAAATTCATATGCCATTAAATAAAGTAAATTTTGAGTATTCTAGCATTAAAATGCAAGAATTGTGAATTTGTTTGTGTATGCATGAAAACGTGTATGTTCTTCCATGCATTTCTTGCATCATGACTTGCGGGTCAGATAAACAGGTTCATTGCATCAAATCATAGTCAAGATCTATTCACTTAACTAGTGGCAGTTGCAACAAGCAATAGTGCATTAATAAGTCAATTGTGCTAACTGTGCAAACATAAAAACCTTAACATGTATCTTTTTGTTGATCAAAGAAAATCCGTACTAAAAATACTTAAAAATATTAAGGCAATTGGAAAGGAACTCTATCTTATTCATCTTTGAAAAAAGTCCTGGATAAAAAAGCAAGCAAAAGGAACAACTTAATGTGCTGCTACGCTGTGGACGTAAAAGCAACAAATACCAATTAAATACAAAAGGAAGGAAATTATTAAGTAAACTTGTACTACAATCTCAATGTTTTAAATTTGCTATGATGTTTTAAGTTATAAAAGAAAAAGAACTAATATTAATGATAAATTGACAGTCAAGCAAGAAACTCTGCATACCTGACAACCATTAGTAAGAAGTTTTATCTTCTGCTCAAGGCGTTGTGCCTTCTTAGTATCATCATCCATCTTTTTCTTTACATTCTCAAATTCATTCTGCAAGGCAGCAAGTTTCTCCATGTTTCCGGCAACACTAGATAGACCATAACCATTACGAGTAGGGAAATACATGATATCATTTAAACATGTTTTATGTGCTTCAACAAACTCATCAAGGGACTCATTCTCATGCCCCATTGCCAAGCGAAGAAACTGAACCTCTTCCTTAATGAAATAACCAGCCTGCAAAAACACAAGAGGTAAGGAGAGGAGGTTATTTCTCTTGACTTGTAACAACACTTTTAGGCACCCTTATTTTTTTGGGGTTTATAGATTATGATAGTGTATCATCTATCAAATGTCAATGAAATCACATTTAGTTATGACATGTTTCACCTGAAGGACTGTAGTAACAAAAGGCAGTAGTATGCCACAAAATAACGTATTTGATGTTCAAGATCAAACAAGTATGAGCTCTGAATCTTCTAACTTTCAGGAAACAAAAGTAATGCATAAATCGGGAAAAGACACAATGGTCATGTTTGTTTCAAGAATTGGAACTACAATGATGAGGGAAAGTCCAATAGAATAATATAAATGTTTGCACAAGAACATCATATTGCTATAAAAGGCCATAATCCATATACTTTTGGCCAAATATAACGAGCAAACATCCATTATTCCTATAGTGTTTGCTCGTTTAATAATCAGCTTACTTCTTCCTGCGTGGTAAATGAGATATGAAGATGACTCGAGAACATGTCAGATACAAAGGTGTACTTCAAGACTAAACTACTGAAATTTAAGTATAGTACTAGAAATAAATGTAATACTAAAGATAAATCTCCAGAGTAAAAGGAATTGAACAAAATGGCATATCATGAAACTCAAAAACCAAATATGGCATATGGCAACAACCAAAATTCCCATGTGAATTTGTGAATGTACACAAAGCGTTTTACCAAAATAATTATTCTAATTCCATGCTAATTATTGCAATTGACTGAGTAAAATAATTACTAAAATAATATTGTATTCTTGTATCTTTCTGAAAACTTTCTACTTAACCATATGTATGTTGAACTTTTACTTTTGCTTTTATTTTCCTTTCATTTGCTCTACTTTCTTGTACTTCCATTCTACTAACTTTTTTCATTCTAAAAAACAGAGTCTTATGGAAAGTTCATAATTAGGATAATGAAATTATGGCACCATGAGAGGAGCATCACCATTTATCTATAATTTGAAGAACTTGCATAAAGTTAAAACAATTAACTTACCCTGACGTTTTATGATTGCATCAACATATGACCAGCTCTGATCAGCAAGCAAATTTTTTTTTATATGAAGCAAATATGAACAGGTATGCTAAGGTGGTTGAAGATTAAACTACCATAAGAAAACAAAGAGAAAAAGATTTCATGACAGACAAGAATAACTAACAGTATTAATAGATAGATATGTAGCAAAAGCATACCTCCTTCAGCTCATTTTCTTCAAAGTCTTCAATCACAGGGACAGAAACAGATCTTCTGTTTGCAGCCCGCTTGGCTCCTTTCTTGTTATCCTTGTCCACTTTTTCGTCAAGTGGATACTTTGCATCTGTGTTACAGGGACTCGGCACTTTGGGGCGAAATACCCGTGTCGACACGACATTACACGGGTGCGGGTGTGGGATCTGTGTCGGATTCGCGTGTTCTCTCTTGGACACGGCTCTTTACAGACAGCAAAAGAGATGAAAGAGGGAGAGAAAGAGAGAACCTGGTCACCTGTCGAAATGGCGAAGACATCGGTCGCTGCTTCGACATGCTCGATGCTCGGTCTCCATCTCCTGCTCTGTCTTCTCTCTCGTCTCTTGATCTCCTTCTCTGTCTTCTCTCTCGTCTCTCGATCTCTCTTCCTCTCCTCTTGTCTCTCGATCTCGATCTCCCTTCTCTCTCTCTCGGTCGCCGACTTCTTTCTTCTCTTCTTTGTTCTCTCGATCTCCCCCTATTAGTATATAATATTAGTAGATAATATAAATATAATTGTCACGACCCCAAACCGCCCCTAGTAATTTGGTGCCGTGATGGCCAGTAATCCGTAATTACCGAAGGCCAACTTTCAAAAAACTTAACACAATCAGAGTATAATACACGGGACTCTCAAATGCGGGAGTAATAATCTAAAATACGAGTAGTCCATAAGAGCTGTGCGTAGATCAAATGCAATGCCAACCATTTCCAATTAACTTTACAACTTGAATACAACAAAGCAAAATATGTGTTACATCTTGATCAAAAGGCTTCTCGAGCCGACATACACAAAATACAGCAAATACAAGCCAAGAAGCATGATTTTCAAGATTCGCCGGCATGAAATAAATGGCATCGCCGACGTGAATACAAAAACAAAGCCGACATAATCATGAATCCAAATAAGCTTTCAAAAACAGTCTAGGCGTCGTCGACGTCCTGCTCATCACCTACATATATATAGAGAGGGTGAGCTTGGATACTCAGTGAATATATGCTTCGGGGTTGTGTTCTAGACTTTAGTGGGTTGTGGGAGAGGCACTTGCCGTTGGTGGCGTTTGCCTACAACAACAGTTTCCAGTCTAGTATCGGTATGGCACCGTTTGAGGCCTTGTATGGCCGACCGTGTAGATCTCCTGTTTGTTGGGCCGAGGTGGGTGATGCACCTCTGTTGGGTCCGGAGTTGGTGAGGGAAACGACGGAGAAAGTTGAGCTTATCCGTAAGAGGCTTGTTACAGCACAGAGTCGTCAGAAATCTTATGCCGACCATAGGAGGAGACCTTTGGTGTTTGAGGTGGGTGATCATGTCTTTCTGAAGATATCACCTAGACGGGGTTTGATGAGGTTTGGGAAGAGCGAAAAGTTATCCCCTCGGTTCATTGGTCCTTTTGAGATCCTTGAGAGGATTGGCGAGGCTGCCTATCGTTTAGCTTTGCCACCGCAGTTGTCCGGAGTACATGACGTGTTTCATGTGAGTATGCTTCGGAAATATGAGCCGGATCCATCACATGTGTTGGATTGGACTGATTTAGTAGTTAATGAGGATGTCTCGTATGAGGAGAGACCGGTTCGGGTCTTGGATAGGCGGGATCAAGTTTTGCGAGGCAAAACCATCTCTTTGGTCAAAGTTTTGTGGAAACACCACGGAGTGGAAGAAGCCACTTGGGAACGTGAATTGGAAGTTCGCGAGAAATATCCGGACATGTTTGTTGATTTGTAATCTTATAATTAGATTCTGTTATATTGTTGAACTTAAGAGCTTTACATATGTCTTAAGTTGTAAAACATTGAGTATGTTTTGGTAAAAGTGTAACATTGCATCTGTTGAGTACATTGTTGAATGTGTTGTATATATCATGCGATTGAATATGATATGGGAATTGTTAACATTGAAAGAAATAATGCATGATAATGATACAGATTGAGATATATGTTATTTTATATATTGTGAGATACCCCTTGATAAAGAGATGAAGTGACCAGTATTGGGTCAAGATGTTTATTGTTGTTGTTTAATATCTTTGAGAATTGAGAAAAACTTGTTTTTGTTTACAAACTTATGCTTAATTTCGGGGATGAAATTCTTTTAAGGGGGGGAGGTTATAGCGACCCGGGTCTTTTCCCATTTGATTATTGTATCTGGACTTAGGTTCCGTAGATTCTGTATATTTGTTGTTGTTGTCCCTTATTTTCTTATTTGGAGTTATAGTGTGTTGGGCAGGTTTGTTTCAGGTTGGTTGGGTTTAGGAACCAAGTGTTGCTGTCCAGAATTTTGGTTCTTTGCTCGAGCGAGGAGTTGGTCGCTCGAGCGAGATGTTGTTTTTGGTTCTTCGCTCGAGCTGGGGTTTGGTCGCTCGAGCGAGAGATTGCGTCCAGTATGGACCTGTAGCATTGCATTCTTGGCTCGAGCGAGCTTTTATTTGCTCGAGCGAGTATTTCTTGTTTCTGGTCGCTCGAGCGACCAAGTCTTCAATCGAGCGAGCCTGTCCAGTTTATATACGCAGCAGCGGGTTTTGATCAGTCTTTTTCATCTTCTTTTTGATTCCAAACCCTAGGTTCGACTTCTCTCTCTCCCTACTCACCTTCTCTCTTAGGTTTGATCTATTTAGAGTGTGTTTCTACCCTAGTTGCTTTATTAAAAAGATAGAGGGAGTCGAGGGCTTTCATTTAATCTGAACATTTGGCGATTTGGAGCACATTGGTATTTGGGCACTCATCTCTGTCTTCACCATTTGGGTTGTTTTCTTCGAGGTAGGGATTTCCTACTCCATTTTATAGGTTTTGTTCTAAGTTTTGGTATATTGATATGTTGGGGTTACTTTGATAATTTTGGGAAAAACCCTAGTTGTATTAATTAATTAATTTGTATAATTAATTTAAGGGAATTGAGGAATTCATTGATTAAATGGTGTAGTTGGATAATTTAAATCACTCGCCTATTGAATTGTTGATATATTTATTTCCAAATCTAGAAATAACTGTTTTGGGCTATCGGTGGAGGATTGTCGTGATTGTTGTAGACATTGCATGTGGATTAGGGATAACTGAAACAAATCACATTGGTTGAGTCATTCATTTGACTGCTGAATTAATACAGACATTATGTGTATTGATTGTGTGTTATGTGTTTACATACATTGTTTTGTGTGGGAGGAGATAGGGGATGTACTCCACGGTTTAGGGGAAGATAGGGGATGGACCTCTAAACCGGATTTTGTTTGGGAGGAGATAGGGGATGGACTCCATTAGCATCACTTTTATGTGTGCTTATTTATATTGAAGTGTTTTTATTGATACGACACTAAAATGTGTATCAAACTGGAAGTATGAAGTGTTTTGATTTGAGCTTGAGTCTCATTTGTTTGTTGACATTGGAAGTATGTGAATATAATATATATGATTCACTGTTGTAAGTTTGGCCAGGTTCTGAGCCATATTGATAATGTTGGAAAGTGGAACGTGTCATTGACGATAGTGTCATGAGACTGGATAATGTTGTAATTGATTATCTTGGTTAACCATCTATTGAATGCTATTGCTTTATTCATTGCTTATATTTGGTTTAGTATATTTCTACTGGGTTGTGGCTCACCCTATATGGGAACATCATTTTCAGGTTCAGGTGATAAGCTACCTCCAAGGACTTAGCTTGGAAGGACTTGGATTTTGAAGACTATTTTCAGTTGTTTGCTTTTATTTGTTAGTACATGTAAACATTCAAGCCTAGGGCTTTATTTGTATTTGAGTTAGAACTCATATTTTTTTGTGTCCAAGTGTTGGCTTGGAAAGATGTAAGCCCATGGGGCATTTAATTTGATATTACATGTAATGTTTTCATTTAGAAATACTCTGATGAATGAGATAATGAATTGTTTTCTTTTAATATTGCATGTTAATGATATAAATATAATGGGTTTATTTTGAGGGCGTTACAATGCATGACATGCAAAACAATTCCGATCATGCAATGCAGCTAGATGATCAACAACAACAATCAAAGTAGATCAAGATTCAAACCTCAAAACTTGAATCCAACGGATCAAACCACGAAGATCAAGCTTGGAAGACTTGCTCTCACTCAAGAACTTCTCCTGTGTTACATGGACTCGACATTTTGGGGCGAAGTACCCGTGTCGACACGACACGACACGACACGACACGACATGACACGGGTGCAGGTGTGAGATTTGTGTCGGATTCGCGTGTTCTCTCTCGGACACGGCTCTTTACAGACAACAAAAGAGATGAAAGAGGGAGAGAAAGAGAGAACCTGGTCACCTGTCGAAATGGCGAAGACATCGGTCTCTGCTTCGACTGCTTCGACATGCTCGATGCTCGATCTCGATCTCCATCTCCATCTCCTACTCTGTCTTCTCTCTCGTCTCTCGATCTCCTTCTCTATCTTCTCTCTCGTCTCTCGTCTCTCGATCTCGATCTCCCTTCTCTCTCTCTCAGTCGCCGACTTCTTTCTTCTCTTCTTTGTTCTCTCGATCTCCCTCTATTAGTATATAATATTAGTAGATAATATAATAATATAATATATTAGTTGATACAAGGCAAAACCTTCAAATTAACATAACAAGGCAAGATCATGCATGAATGTATGCAAGTACGACAAGAGTAAGGTGAGGGTTGTTACAATAATAATATAATATATAACATTATTCTTTTTTTTATTTATTCAAATATAATATTATTCATATCATATAATATTATTCTTCCATTATTCATATTACATTTATATTAACATATAGTATAAATTACATTAATATAATAATATATAATATTATTCATCCAAAAAAATTATATAATACAATATATCATAAATAATATAATTTTTATGTCTAAAATAAAAAATAACTTATTTTATCATATATAATAAAATTTATTTTATATCTAAAATAATTTTTATTTGCTATTCATATAATATAACTCATCTTCATATAATAAATATATTTTTTTTAAAACAAACTATTTAACGTATCCCCGTACCCGTATCCAAATTTGGATACATATCCGCGTATCCTTCATTTTTAATTTTGAAGTGTCCGACCCGCACCCGCACCCGCACCCGTGTAACTTAGCTTTGCATTATCATGATCTAATAAGGATAGAAGCTCTTTTCTTATCATTTCATCAGCCTGCTCAATCAAAGTTGGGGGAACAAAGGAGCTCTTGTCTTCATCAGCTCTTGTCAAAGAATTTTTAATTAGTTCCAATGAAGCAGCGGGAGGTCTAGGGAGCTCCCTCTGCAGCACTTTCGATCTCTTCTTAAGTAACAATTGTTGCCTCGCTTCTTCCTCAGCCTTCTCTCTAGCCATCCTATCAGACATATCTTCTTCAATATGCTCCTCTGGTTCTTCATTATCTTCAGGGACTGGTTGGATAACTATCTGGTACTCATTCTTGGGCTGTGGAAGGTTGCTCAAACCAGAACGTAAGTTCCTTCTCAAATCAGCTTGTCTACGGAGCTCAAGTTTTGCACTTTCATGCATATCCACGCCATCATTAATATGAAGCTCATCCCTAATTGGAGTTCCTTTTGGAGTAAGACCAAATGAATCCCTTGATGGAATCATGCCAAGTCTTGGTGTCATACCACCATCTCCGGGAGTCACTGAAGGAGTTAACATTGGGTTTGGCGTTTGGATCTCCCTTTTCTTAGGAGTGACCCCAGAAAAATCTGAAGGATGCAGTTCTGGATTTTCTCCTCCAAGTAACGGTGTCTGAGACTCTCTCAACCTGGCCAGATTTTCAGCTTCCATCATAATAGCATCACCCTTACCTGCAGGTGTTCGCTGAGGGGCCCGTAGTGGGGTCATTCCTTGTCGTGGTGTCTGAGCATAATTTGCAAGTAGAGCACGAGTTGCACCATTCCCTTCAATGAGTTCCTCGCTCCCTGCAAGGAGATCACTGGTATAACCCATCTTCCCAATCTCCTCCAATTCATTATCTGAAATCTGTGGTGCAGGAAGCATCAGTTTTGACCTCTTCCGGACTGCTTCTGGATCATTTAGTTTGTTTGCTTGCAGTATTGCAGATGGGGCATCCTGCCTCTGTGCAATTTTATTCCTTGCAATATCCTGCTTCCTTAATCTTGCTTCCCTATCAGTTCTTTTTTCACCCTCAAGTTCTTCAATGGTGGTAGGGAACTTGAGCTGTTCCACTGGTTGATCTTCATCAGCGACATCAAAAAAGCCTGGAGGAGGCTTCTTCTCAAAGGGAATTTCAGCATTATAGTCAATACCCATCCTCTTCCTTTTCCTTTGCCTAGTTTGAATTCCAGCTGCCTTTAGTTCTCTCCTTTTCTGCAAAGAAGCTAGCCTCCTGGCCTCTTCAAGCTGCTTTTCCCGGGCTTTCCTTTTTGCCTTCTTGCCCCTAGTGTTGGCTAACCGAGCTCGTGCTTCTGAAAGCATTTCCTTCTCATCCTCATCCATATCAACAGGGTCTGGACGCGCAGGCTTCAATTCTGGGTTTGGATCAATCTCTCCAGGGGTGGATCATCACCTGCTTCATAGTTCTCATCCTTTGCACAGGCTGCATCAAGGAGCTTCTCATAGCGTTCAAGGCATTGAGATGGAGTACGACCCACAATTGGGGCAATTGTTCTCCATTGTGTGGGCATGAGCTTAGCAAGGTGAAGCAGTTTCTCATCTTCTTCTCTGGTCCACTCAGTCTACACATAATATAAAACAAATTTTAGTTTTCTCACTTACAAAAAATTGCTTGCACTGTAATTTAGAACAGAACTCAGAAGACAAATAAAAAGTCAGAAAATGTTGACTGATGTCCTTCACAGCATTGCTGCACAAAATGGGAGAAAGGCAAAAGAAATAATTCAGCAAGCTAATATCTATACAGAAATCAACCTTCTTTCTCAAGACACTGTTAGCCAATTAGATCTGCTGCAACAGAAAGTCCAGTAGTTAATTTTTGTCATGCACCTAGCAGTTAGTTAGAGCAGTACGTTAGCTAGTTTAGATCTTTCTAGAGCTCTTACATTGTATGTATATATATACAGATGATGTAGCAATGTAATGCAGCAATGGAATGGACAAAGAATATTTCGATGATTTTCTTTCCTACTTTCAGTTTCATTTTCACTTTCAGAAGAAAGTTTACAAATAGCTTATCACAACTTAGAATATTCGTTAGTCGAGAATCATGGAGACAAACCAAAGGCTTATGAAAGTGATTGGGCTCATTTATTTGCATATCAGAAAAAGATTAAAAAAATAAATAAATTTGGTATAGGACTGTAAGAATTATGAAGAATTTCTGTATATTCAATTGTATTTACTGAACAAAGAATACATCACTTATATAGAACACTAAATCCTAATCCTAAACGAATACATCACTAATATAGAATTCTAATAGATATAGAACACTAATCCTAAATAGGAAACAAGAATAAACCTAAACCAATCTTAAATAGGAAACAACAACAATAAACTTAAACAAATCCTAAATAGGAAACAATATTCACATAATATATAATATTATTCTCAGACCCCCGCTCAAACTCAAGGTGTTTGAGCAGAAAACACTGAGAGTTTACCAAGAAGAAACTGAAACCGAGCAGTGGTGTGAGTCTTGGTAAAGAAGTCAACAAGCTGCGGAGCTGAAGAGACGAAAGGAAGCGAGATAGAGTCAGATTGCAGATGCTGACGAACAAAGTGACAATCAATCTCAATGTGCTTGGTCCGTTCATGAAAGACGGTGTTATGTGCAATCACAATAGAGGGAGGTCGAGGAAGACTGAGGGACGCCCAAGTCAGAAAGAAGACAATGAAGCCAGACAACTTCAGCAGTAGCATGAGCCATAGCACGGTACTCAATTTTGACAGTAGAGCGAGCAACAACAGTTTGTTTCTTGCTTTTCCAAGAGATCAAGGAATCGCCAAGAAACATACAGAAACCAGATGTGAACTTGCGATCAGTAACATTACCAGCCCAATCAGAATCAGCATAGGCCACAA